TCAGGCCAGCAGGAGGGAAGGAGCCATAGGAGGTGAGCCAATTGGGGTGGGATAGCTAAGGGGAGGGGCCGCAAGAGGTTGGCCGTCCAGGAGGAGGGACCGTGGGAAGTTGGCTGGCCGCAGAAGGTTGGCTGTGGGAGCGCACTGACCACCAGGGAGAAGTTCCTGCATTGAGTGTCTGCCCCATGATGGTCAGTGTGAATCACAGAAACTGGTTGGCCAGTCGTTCAGTAGTTTGGTCATTTAGGCTTTTATTTATTTATATATAACAGTACGTATATTTATATAGCAGTACGTATGCTCATTTGTGATATAACATGGTCTTCATACAGTGTATCATGGTAAAAAAAAAATCAAAAGCCACCAACCTAATAAAAATGCTTATCAAAAAATTCATTAAATAGTGTGTCATGATCATTATTGCAAAACTGTGTTTTATTATATATAATACTAGAGGCCCGGTACATAAAAATTTGTGCACTCGGGGGGAGGAGGGGTCCCTCAGCCTGGCCTGTGCCCTCTCGCAGTCTGGGACCCCTCCTGGAGATAACGACCTGCTGGCTTAGGCCTGCTCCCGGGTGGCAGAGGGCAGGCCCAATCCTTAGGTGCAGCCCCTGGTCAGGCTCAGAGCAGGGCCGATTGGGGAGTTGGGGAGACTCCCCCTGTCATGCACAGAGCAGGGCGGATTGGGAGGTTGCGATGCCACCCTCAGTCACACTCAAGGCAGGGTCGATGGGGAGGTTGCGGCGCCACCCCGTCACACTCAGAGCAGGGCCAATCAGGGGGTTGGGGTGCTGCCCATGTCACGCACAGAGCTGTGCCCATCAGGGGGGTTGGGGCTCCGTACCCTGTCACACACAGAGAAGGGCCCATCAGGAGGTTGGGGAGCTCCCCCCTGTCATGCAGAGCAGGGCGGATCAGGGGGTTGCTGGTTTGGGCACAAGCCCCTGTAGGGGCGTGCAGGAGGCAGGTGATTGATGTTTCTTTCTTATCGATGTTTCTATCTCATCTCTCTATCCATTCCCCTAGACTGTAAAATCACTGAAATATATTAAAAATTAAAAAAGAAAGAATTAATACAAAGTGCCACATTCAGCCTGGCCAGTGTGGCTCAGTAGTGGCTGTCACTGGAGCTGAGAGCCAGCTTTAGCTCTGAGGCTTGGCTCCAGCTCTGAGACCTCAGCTGCTGAAAGCAAGTATCTGGGTTTGTTTGGGTTCTATAATTGTAACACTATTGCGGTCCTGCTCACTCCAGCTCTGAGATCCCGGCTTGCTGAAAGCAGGGATCTGCGTTTGTTCTATAATTGAAACAATGTTGTGGTCCTACTGGCTGAAGCCCAGCTGGCTGAAAGCAGGTATCTGGGGTTTTGTTTAGCTTCTATATTTGTTAACAATGTTTCAAACTGCAAGCTCAGAAGCTGGCAAGGCTGGCAGGCAAATTTGGAGTCCTCCGTCACTGAAGCAAGCGAGCCTCATGTTAGCTTTGAGCTGTCTGGCTGCCGGCCGCCATCTTGGCTGGCAGTTAATTTGCATATTGCCCTGATTAGCCAATGGGAAGGGTAGTGGAAGTACAGCTAATTACCATGTTTCTCTTTTATTAGATAGGATATTTAATTGTTTTTTTTTTCACATATAAACTGTAACATTTTTAAAGGGATGGATATTCATTCTTTCTAGAATATTTGTCTCTACCATAAAAACTATCTGTCTCTTTAAACACTAGGATTCATTTCAGAACAAAATAATTATTAAATTAAGTTTGTTCCTAGAAAACTCACATTTATTTTCAATATATTTCAATATAGTTTAAATATAAACCTATAAGAAAAATTAATTTCTTAAACATATCCCTTCCTATAGGACAGTGATAGCAAACCTTTTTTTTTTTTTTTAATATATTTTACTGATTTTTTACAGAGAGTAAGGGAGAGGGATAGAGAGTTAGAAACACCGATGAGAGAGAAACATCGATCAGCTGCCTCTTGCACAGCCCCTAACTGGGGATGTGCCTGCAACCAAGGTACATGCCCTTGACCCTAATCGAACCTGGGACCCTTGAGTCCGCAGGCTGATACTCTATCCACTGAGCCAAACTGGTTAGGGCGATAGCGATCCTTTTGAGCTCAGCGTGTCAGCATTTTGAGAAACCTTAACTTAACTCTGATGCCATGTCACATATAGAAATTTTTTGATATTTGCAACCATAGTAAAACAAAGATTTATATTTTTGATATTTATTTTATATATTTAAATGCCATTTAACAAAGAAAAATCAACCAAAAAAATGAGTTCGCGTCTCATAGGTTCGCCATCACTGCTATAGGAAGTGATTAGGGGTTTAAGTTGAAACCTGCATCCTATCTAGATAAATTAGACCTAGTCAAAGGGGAGACCAACAGGGGGGGGTACCTGTATCAATTCTCCATATATTGAAGGAACAATTACATTCAGGATATTCCCTTCCACAGGGTTCTTTAAGACAGACTAGGAAGTGGAGTCAAAACTCAAAAACTGTTTTTCACCATTTAGGCATGTGCTAACACTAGTACACATCTATCATGGTCATAAACTGGAAGGGAGAGAAGGTGGAGTACCAGTCGGGGCACTCCAGCGGTAAGGCACCGGAAGCATTTCAGTATCTATGTTTTAACTCCTCTCATCTGTGATCTGGTCATTCTCTTTACCTTAGCCCACCTCTTCCGTAGCTACACCTGCTACTAGAATAGGGGTTCTGCAGGTTGGTCCCAGGACCAGCGTCAGCAGAATGAACATCATGCTGAAACTTGTTAAAATTGCAAGTCATTGTGCCTTATCCCACACTCAATGAATCAAAAACTCTGGGGATTCTATTTTAGTCATCAATTTACTGTGGCATGGAAACATGAAATAGACTGATGAATCTCAGAGGGAAGGGGGAGGGGGCTGGGAAGAGAATAACCAAAGAATTTAGATGCATATATGTACCCCATGAACACAGATCATACCTGAGTGAATGCTTGGGGCGGGGCCTAAACTGGGTGATGGAATACAAGGGGGTGGGGAGGGGGAGGGATAGGTAATACTCTCAACAATAAAGAAGAAAAAATCTGGGGGGTGAAAAAACTCACCACTCCTGGGGTGGGGTTGAGTAATCCATATTTTAATGAGTCATCCAGGTAATTCTGAAGTACTATCTAGTTTTAGAACCACTTTCTTCAAACCACGGTTTCAACTTCATATGTACAACAACAAACTCCTAGCTTCTTACCCCCCAGCATCCTCCTCCAGTCTTTCCTACCTCTGTGAATGGCACTCCAGCTGAGGTCAGAAACTTGGAAGTCATCTTTGACTCCTTTATTTTTCTTACCCCTTACAACCATACCTGAGCAAGTCCTTTCAGCTCTAACTTCAAAACAGAATTGATGATCTATCTACTTCTCACCATCTGCACCACATCTACCTTGGTCAAAGTCACCTTTCACTTAGATTATAGCAATAGCCTCATAACTGTTTTTTCTATTCTACAGATTATGTTGAACTCTAGGGCTAGAATCAACTTTTTCAAATAATACAAATTAGAACACTTAATTCCTCTCTTCCACACCCTTCAATGGTTTCCCAACTTAGCGTGAAAACCAATTCTGATTCTATGGCCTACAACGTCCTACAACATCTGGTCCTCCACTACCTGTGAAGCTCACGGCCTTCTATCCTCCTGCTTGCTCACTGCTCCTTTCGCCACTCTGGCCTCCGAGGTGTTCTTAGGGAACTCCAAGCATTCCCTTGTCTAAAGGCTTTTGTTCATGTTCTCCCCTTTGTCTGCAATGCTCTTCTAGTGCCTGCATGATTTGCTCCCTTATTCCTTCAGTCACTGTCCCCTATTAGAGAGACCTGCTTTGACCATGTGATATAAAACATCAGTAACTCCTCCATGTCACTCTTTGTCCCTCTATATATTTTCTTTTCCATATCACATTACTACCTGACATTCTATATATTAAATTAATGCTTTTGAAGTGGTAAAATATATATTAAGCTCCATATAGGCTGGGGCATGGTCTTGTTGATTGCTGATATTCTCAGGACCTGAAATAGATCCAGGCCCATACGAGAGACTTTCAACAGACAGTATACTAGTAATAGTGAGTGACAAGCATTGCCAGGGCACTCTGGCTTTCTCATTGGCTCAAATACAGAAAACAGTTATTACTTAGCATCCCCAGGACTTCGGGATAGTTAATGAATTTAATGAGTATAATAAATGTAA